CACCGCCGCTGAACATTACTCGGAGTTAACATATAGGTCAGTACATCAGTAAATTAATGTGGCTGGTGGTAAGGTAGCATGCGTCAAAAATGCTACGTGATATCGAGGCAGATGTTGATCGTAGGAAATCAACGCCTGTTAATCTGAACCTCATCAATCAATAACGAGTATTATATTCGTTACACAGCCAAATTTAATCGATTAGTTTTGATACGAACCAGAAGATCGTTTATTGCAGCAATGTATGAAGTGGTACAGATTTATAAAAAGTAATATGTTCTGTGTACCAATTATTATATTGAAGGATACGATGTATGTACATTGTATTCTTAATATGTAATTAATTTATGTATGTCAATAAAATTTTAATTATGCAACTTCAAACCAGGAATGTTATTTATATTTAATGATGATATCGTATATTTCTTTTAACATCTTTATATACATCATTTTTCTGTACGTTTATATCGCACTGAACTCCTTCTTAACGGCTGGATCAATTTTAACGAAATTTTTGTGTGTTCAGGTGGATTCGAGATTAAATTATTGTAGAGTTATTCAAAAAAGTTTGAAATTTTCGAATTTAAGTCGTGTGCACAAGACCACTTCTGTCCGGTCAGCTAGTATTACTATAAAGGAGTAGGCCAAGAAAGAAGTCCCTATCGTTATTTTTGGAAATAATTCGCCCCGGCAAAAATTGAGACAAAAATGTTTGACTGTAATTTAAGCTGTGTAAGACTTTGATATACGTTGAACTTATTCTTCTTAGCAATTGGGGTTCAGATTTGTTACCCCGGATCTCTTGATAACGTTCCTAACCTCCAGGCCACTCACAAAAAAAATTCAATACTGAACTGTCAAAACTGGTTGCGAACCAAATGTATTTGATCATTATAATATTTAGACAATTATTATAATCGTCACCCATTCATGACTATAAATAGCTTATTGACAATGACATGGTTCGCGTCCGTTATTATTTATCGATTCGTTCTATGCTAATACAGCAACACTGTCATGTTAGCACACATAGACATTTACTATATTACTTCTAAGCATAGAGTAATTCATTGATTATAGTTGAATAAGTACGATCAATATGAATTTCGAATTAGAGCTGAAGTGAGAGAGAGCTCCTTTTCCATGTAAATTAGATTAAATGTATCTTAATAGCCGTAACATGGACAATCGTGAGCTTGTAAACCTAAAAAAAAAGATAAATCTTTGCTTTTTACAAAATTTTATAAGTTACACGTTAAATCAAAATTAAGAAAATTCTTTTCTCATAAATTGTATGATAACTTAACATCATTTTACAAAAACAACATGCTTTCACAAAAATCAAGATGATTATTTATTTGATAGAAAGAAAAAAAAATAAAAACTTGTTTGTGTTCCCGTAAATTTAGTAATTCGTTATGAGTTATTTTTTGTCAAAGTCTGTTGATCTCGGCGAGTAGTAGTCCATTCATAATATTCATATGATTCGGTTGTAAGATTGATTGACAAACAAATCATACAAGATAAACGTAACGGTATATATTACTCTGATGTTGAATAATTGCTAACGCTCAATGACATCTACAACAGCCGAGTGCTTATAGTTTCGTTGCCGGTTTTAGAAAGCGGCCCAATATCAACTGTACCAGATGAAATGTAAAAGTAAACGTATTGTACCTCACTTTGGCTACCCCACTTCCCCGAATGAGCCTGCCCATTTTTCAACAGCAGTACCTGCTGTTTGCCCGCAAACAACATCAATTTATATAATTGCATCACGTATATATCAACTTATTATTATAAAAATACAAGTTGATAATATAAAGTAAGACTAATGAAAGCATATTCAAATTTAGCGTCTCTCTATCCGATAACTAGTTTGTGGTCATAATCGGCAAATTCCATTCCAATCCAACAACCGTGTGAATAATTATTTACGCGTTTCCTAATCATCATTTTGTTGCTGATATTGGCGAATAGAGACGAATGCTCGTGGACTATACCTACTGTACAGAGGAGGCCTTTACCCAGCCGTGGGAAATGTATAGGTTGATTTTGTTTTTGATACTACTTTAATTTTATGTTATTATTACGTAACAATAACGTCAAAATATTTATGTCAATATATTATTTTTTTAAAATATTGCATTTACAGTAGGTAAACATAATCTCGTGTTGTGAGGCCGTAATAGTTATGTTACTAAATGCAAAAATCGACAGCCTTACCCATACACAATTCTGACACGTATGCGATAGCTGTAGTCACCACCATCTCATTTCGGTCGTAATGGGGTTAAGTGTCTGTCCCTTCATGGCGTAAATGTTACAAGAACTTTTTAGTTATATTTGTTAGTTTATGTGATGGTTAAATTGCCGATTTGTTAAGTTTATTTATTAAAACAGTACCGAACCGCCCCGGCTTCACATGGGTGCAATGTAGATATTGAATTTCTCGACTTTTCTCTACTATAGTATACACATAAACCTTCCACCATACCAACTACATCTATTGCTGAAAATCCGTTGCGTAGTTTAAAAGGTCTAAGGGTATAAACATCGGGTTTGGTTCTGGCTTTGGACGATCGTGATCAATCCCGCCAAAAGCACGGCCGTCTACTTTTCTCCTAATCCTCCACCCGTTAAACTCATGGATAATCCGGTTCCATGAGTAAACAAAGTCAAATACTTAGGTTTCGTCCTGGACCCCCAACTCAAATTCAGCCAGCACTTGACTCGGTTGAGGAACCGGGTGGCCATCGTACTAGGTCGCCTGTATCCCCTTTTAAATAAAACTTCAAAAATGTCCCTTCGAAATAAGGTGACTTTATATAAGACAATAGTTCGCCCCATCATGACATACGCCTGTCTGGTCTTTGCGCACTTTGCCCTGAGGCAAATACATCGGCTTCAGGTCATCTAGAATTGATTTTTGCGAAATCAGCCCAGCTGTTTAGGAATCACATACACACGCACAGAATAATTATAACACTAACTTAATTCAATTTTCGAAGCAAAGATACAGCCGAAACCACTTAAAATGGGTGAAAAATAGTTTTATCCGTAAAGTAGTTTTATTTAATATGTATAATATTCGCGAAAAATCAAGAAAACAATATGGGTGAAAAGTGTTTACAATAGGAAAGTCAGATAAATTTTCTATTGCTGTACCTGTAATCTGTGTGGTAGTATGGCATCTTACGGCAATAAGAGTTAATAGTTTCTGTGTTTATAATCTTACCGTATCGGTCGCTGGGCGAATATACAAGAAATACGGGTAGCATAAATCTTGAAATGTTTATACTGCCACACAATTTATAGAATAAGCCGTACATCAAAGGGTAACCAGAGAACGGCTTAGTTAATATTGTTGCTTGTATCATTATAAAGATTTACCACACGGAACTGAGCGGTAGAATGCAGGGAGGAGTTGAATGAAAAAATGAAGACCACGTGGTAATATTGAACAAAGTGATGTAATTAACGGGGTGAATGTATTTACGCAAATGTTAAAATGTAATATGGATACGAATAAGACTGAAGAGTATTGATTAAAATAATGTAGGTCAGTAGTTAAAAATTTTAAATTTATTTAAATGCTAGAAAACTGCTATTTTAGAAGACGGAGAAAATTTTGAAATTTCCTCCTCACATTACAGTTACGGTAACTGATCCAGTTTTTCTTTTTTATTTTATTTTTTACCGTTCTTCTTATTTACTAATTGTGGGAAAATAATTAGGTTCGATAAGCAATCTGCTAGATTTTTTTGGGAGTGAATATCAGGCCATTATAAGAGACGAAATACCAAACACGGTTTAAGGTTAGTTATTTCGCAATAAAAAAAAACATGGATACTATGCGGATTACAGAATTATTACAGTGAGGATGACATTCGTAATTTCTCTGCAGTCATATAAGAGTAGGATCAAATAGTAAAATAAGCCTAACTGTGGTAGGGCCACGCAACAGTATCCGCAGTTGCACGAATGGGCAGTTCCGTCTAGGGAAATACCACGAACTCACAGAAGAACGACCAGAAGTGGAAGTGATATACTTCTGTGTTTCGTCTGTCTTTCTTTTCGTCTGTGAGAGGTAACCGGAGCCCTATTCTTTAAAGATTATTACGGCAGCTGCAAGCCTTTAGGTTTTGTAGATGCCCATGGGCGGCGGTATTCACTTAACATCAGGTGAACGATCTCACAACTGCTCCTGCTCGATCTTACAACTTTTCACATTAAGAAAAGCCATGTGTTTATTTATTTTATTTAATGAACCAATACCTGATTTTCGCACAAAGTTATCATCACTAACAGGTGCTTGGACTACTGGGTTGCGTGGTAGTCGGTTACGGAATACGTTTACTACTCTTGCATAAATGTGAATATATTAAACAGCGGTGCCCTTTAACAAAGTGTTCTATCCATTTGCATACAAAACAAAAAGAAGGTCATATAACTGTTACTGAATAGAATATTATTGATCATCGATTAAATTTGTATTAAATTATAACGAAGAATTTGTTTTTTCATTGAACACCGATCGCAATATAAGGTGCTATGACACGAGCCAGAAACGCAGTAGCGTGTTTCTTTTCATAGAACCACATTTATATTATTTTTTAAAATTATGTCCAGTGTACGGCGATAAATATGTCACTTGTTACTTTACAACTGAATAAGCTAATTTTAACTGGTTTTATCTATCCCCTTAGGGATGTAAGCCTTTAAAGTTTACTTGTTGGATTAAAATATTTAAACTATAGATTTACCTAAACTTTAAAAAATTTAAATAAAAAAAACGTTATGTGATATCTTTTTAAATATTCATTTCAGACAGGAACATTAACTTCATTCTTATATATTATTGAATAGCAAGTAGTGCTATGAATACAAAATTAATTAAATAAAATATATTTTAACATAAACTTGTTTCGCTTAGTATTGAAATTCGTAGGTTTTCCCCTAAAATTCCCCGAAAATGAAACTGCTCTGCATGTACTTACACAAATAAATTCATTTTGATGACATCTATTGTACCGGTCGATAACACTTTTATATCACGCACACGTCACACCACTCATATATCTCGTTAACTTAATAGACCACCAAATTATTTCACAGACAATCGCTATGAGAGTTTTTTTTCTATTTTCATTTTCTTAAACGCGCGCGACAATAGTGCTGCTGCGCAGGAGTTGTTGGCGTGTGCTACGGCGCGCGCCTACAATGGCACTGGCCTGGCCACTCGGCTATTAGACTCATTCTAGTGCCTGGGGCCGACAAACTTTCAGGCAGATCACAATAGCCAGATTGATTTTTGACCCTTTAACTGCCTTAAATGTTTATGTATTTTATTGGATATAAATATTATTTAGTTAAAATTTATATTTTATGTAATTTTACCCTCCTCCGCCTAAAATTTCAAAATAAAAAAAACCAGTGCCAAGTTCTAGAGCTAAATCTTAATATTTGTATATACGATTTTTCAGTTGTTCCAAGTGCTTTAGCAAATCGATAAAATTTTTAAGATATTAAATATAGAGTCATATTATAAATTATTTAATGTTCAGGATTTTTTTTCGACATTTTGTACTTTCGTCTCAATAGTCATATCTAATATTGCCACGGCGATTGGTTTAGGTTTGTTTTTTTAATGCAGCCCCTAAAAACTAGTTATGATAGAGCCACGCTGTTACACAAATGAGCAGGCCCATCCAGGGAATTACCACGATCTCACAGAAGACCGACGTGAAGTGGAAAAAAAATTATCAAGAGTTCTAATTAATCTGTAAAGCCACGAAATGGGATTTAAATATGTTGCATCCAGAAATAAGTAATAAGCTTTTTTAGTTTTCTATTCTTTTTTATGAAAACATACAAGAAAGTTAATGTGCATATAAAATTTAAAATTAGCTACAAATCTATGTTATTTTATGTATATTTGTAAACACATTGCAATTGTATTTCCGTTATTTAATGATTTAAAGTTTATGTACCTAGTATTACATGTAAGAAGTATATGTAAGAAATCGACACAAATTTCATTACTCTATTCTATACGTTAGAAATCGAGGTAATAAAATTAGTATTTAATGTCGGCCTGGATATTCTTGTGGCTGTCGTATAATAGTTAATAAAACATATAAAAAATGTCGATTACGCTTTAGGACAACGTTTATGCGATAAAAGACTTTGAGTCCGGTGTTTTAAGATTTAAAATAGGTTTTTATACTGGCGTGGATGATAGCAGTATCGCCGCCGTGCAAATATTTACAAGTAAAATATTTACACTTATTGATCAGATAAAAACGATCTGATTTCGTTTTAACATTCGGTCTTTTCTAGTCCGTTGTTTTGGTTTCAAATCACTGACCTGAAATTTTAAAAATGAATAAAAGGCTAGGTATTTTGTTACTACAATTGGTTTCTTAAAACAGCTATGAAACTAGGATAATTAAATACTCATACATTTATTGAATGATTATAGGACATATTAAGTGTTTATAGATTACATACATATTTAGTCAAATACTTATTGTAATTAATTGATATCGATACAGTATATGTTTTAAGGCAATATATGTTTTAAAAGATCAAAAGGTTTTTTTTGCAAGGCTACCAAATCGTGAGTCGCGATTATTAAATTGATATTAGGGAAAGTATGACCTACTTTTACAATTTTAATAATTTTTTATATAAATATAAACCGGAACTTAAAATTTAGGCCACTAAAAAAACTAACTTTATATTTAAATCGCCACACAAGTGATAAATCCACTACTTACAAAAGGACTTTCAATTTATAGATACCAAGACAGTTTTAGTTGAGTGAGGTAACATACCGACTATTGGTACATATCATTTGGGACTGCAAACTTCTTTCTCTATAAGATGCAAGACTTGACTTGTTATTTTACAATACACTTTAGCCGCGTAATTTTGAAGGCATTTTATCGACGACCCATATCTACGTAACCGGTAGTCTAAAATATCTACGCCACCCATTTACATGTTATAATTACCGTTATATAAGCTCTCTTTTATATTAATCTTGAAAAGAATGGAAATAAATTACTGACATCTTACCCATATCTATTTTACCAGCTAAGTTCTTGAAGTAATATATTCTAATTTTAATATATCAGTCACTGATGTTTAATAAAATAGATGATGCATGTCCATACTGCGCAGCGTTTAATAGTTATATGACACATATAAGTGAATACAACAGATGATATAGAACGTATGACACCAATTGGTGTAATTTGAGCGCCTCAGTTTCGGTGCGCTAGTTGACATATCCACCACATATCTGTATATATTATCATTGGCATCAGCAGTATACTATGTACAAATAACACTTTTTAAGACTTCGGAAATTTAAGAGGCAATAAAATAATGTTCGTTTCTAAACTATTTATTCATCAGTTGTATGTTCGTTGTTCAAATGGATGTATAATTTCATGAAACTAGAGCATGCGACAAAACGTTTAATTAATATAGTCAGTATGGATAAATAAATTAACTCCTAAAACCAATCTCATCAATGCGGTAATCTTTGTAATAACTGTTGGCTAATGAATTATCCATAGCTCAGACATATTATACACGTTTATAGGTGAAACAGCAAAGCAGTGTTTAAAAAATCTATTATAGTACAAACGGGCTCTTCAGAATATAAATATTCCCTTACAAGATAGTTGCGTATTCATTAAATCGTTATTAGTAATAAAATAATCGTTAGTGGTGTAACACCTCTGTGTATCTTAAAGTTTTATATAACATGTAGAATAATTGCTTTGGATGGTATTAACCACTGCTCAAAATATATCTGCAAGGTCTCACGAAATCAAAGGTCCCTCTGAATAATTCCTTCAGTAGGTTCGAAAAATGGAATGTATTAAATTATTATTAATTAAAACATGACAAGATAAATTAAATTATTAGCTTAAATCAAAATATGGATAAAATTCGTTATTTCTTTTTTCGAAAAGTATAGGTATATGACTACCTAGCAAGACAGATGACGATGTGAAGTTATATTTCTTTTAATTTAATAGAGTTGATTTGAACTATTGCATAATCATATCAGATTCAATGTTAGACCAAATAAATAGAGTAGAGTAGGTAATGTCACGTAAACCTGATTATTAAAAATAAGTCATCAATTAATGACGCAGTTAAAACTCGTTAAAGCAGTTAAATGTTGAGGACAAAAATGACACAAGGGTGACGTAAGTGTCTATCGCAAAGGATTCTATGGGGATTCCAAATATAATTACGTACGTTAGTTTATTGACGCTTCCAAGAACCTACATGGAGATACCAACACATTAATTAAACTGAGCAATGAAAATGACACGACCATCGGGATATGCTACCAAATTATTTTAATTAAATGCTTTGACTTTAACTATAACTTTGTAAATTTATTAATCTATTAAATCTGTGGTGTTTCAGCTTATTGAAATCAATTCTTATGGCACGGACTCAAATTTGTTTGGTGAATTTCATGAAAAGATACTTATTGCGATAGAAACTTTTGGAACACGCATTGAGAAACATTGATAGTTTTCTTATAGTTCTAGGCTTCTAGATACGTAGAAAAATAACAGGAGGTACAAACTTTTAGAATACCTTCAGGTGGCCGAGGTCGCTGTTTCCACCTTCATGATAATTACAAGTGCAAGTGATTGCATTTGATTATATCATTACAATAGATCGTTCATTTAAATCCAACCCTTATCACAAACATGCTAAGTACTACGAAGAGAATGGATACAACTACCGGTAGAGTTCACATCAGCTCATTGGCAATCAAACTTATTAAGTCTATTCACTCTTACCTTCAAAATAGTGTCGGTAAAATAGTAAAGCAGTTATATGCTCCGTACACATAGATATTACAACACGGGGAAACATCCCATATGAAAATATTTTTTGTTTATTTAACTTTTTGTTTATTAACTTTTGAGAATGCTATTACATACGTACGTAATAATTAAAGTAATAAAATATTTGCAAAGAAGGATGTTTTTCTGTGTGCTATCGTAAAATGTGTAAATAATGACCAATTGAAGAATTTTGTTTTAAGTTTTATGTAGTGTTATATAATATAAAGAGGTTTAGTCAACTAAAAACAAACATGCAAATATTTTGAGCTTATTTTGCTGGGTTTCATAATACCATCATTATTCTTCGGGCGGTAATGTAGGAGGACGTTTAATTTTCGTAGTATGTACAATGTAACCGAAACGTGTAAGGTTAATTTGCGCCTTGGGGGTTCAGATCTTATTCTTTAAATTCTAAACCGAAAATTGAGGTAACAAAAATCCATTGTTAAATAACAAGTATTTTAAACTCTTTCAAAGTAAATAAAAGTGGACAAGACTTCTTTACAATTCAATAAATATACTAAAATCAATTAACTATTGGAATGTATTCATTTTTATCACTATATATATAGTGATAAATATACATATAGTGGTATAAGCAATTAATGTTATGTGGCCCTACCACAGTAAAATAATGTTCATCTTAAAAAAATATTACATAATTTGACAGCATTCCATTAATTTGAAAAAACAAACATCAAATTTTTATAATATCAAAGTACTAAGGATCCCTAAAAGCTTAAAGGTAAGCTACAGACCTACAACTGTTTATTTTGGCTTAGAAAAGCGGGTGAGGTCACGTAGCAGGCCAATAACATCCATCGCTGACGAGGCAACTTCCACCCATTATTAGGAATTGTTCGCCATTAGCGGCTAAGTAGATCGTTTATATCATTGAAAACAAATTTGGATCTATAAATTATAATTGTGACTTATTTTGTGCGTTATTTTCCAGTCTTATACACAATAAAACGTACCTACTTTTAAAATTTTATCCTAAAGGTATAACCTGAATTATTCGCCTGCATAAATAAAGGTCAAAAATTTAGGTGATACTTATTTTGTTATTGTTACTTTTTTTTTGCCGTCAATACTGGTGAAGGTAATAATCTCTGATTGTTAT